CCTCAGGCACCTACTTGAATACTCATGTTTTCCAGCGGAAGAACCGGAAATGATAGTCATGTCTCAAGGTAGTAGTGCATGTATGCTTAATGGGATGCATCTATCAAAATTAGCAGTTCAAAGCAATTTAGTTTAAATTTTAGTGAAGAGTCAACTGATATTTTAATGGACTTGAAGTGTAAGAATATTGTTACAATGGAAGACAATGATTTAAAAGGCCCCCAAAGTCCTTTATGTAGTCATTCAAAAAGAACTAAGGACATATTTTACTAAAAGCTGTTAACTTTGACGAGTATGAGGTTACTCCCCACTGAAAATGGCAAATTTATTTTCTTACTTTAGAGGGAAGTATGAAAAAGAAGAATAAAGCACTTTAAATGCAATATAATCCACTAAATGTGAGTTTGAAAGGTAGCATCTTAGAGAGACTATTTTTTTATTCCTTGTACTTGAGAGAATGCTAATAGGATGGACTGGGGATTTAGCTCAGTGCTGCCGCTGCCTGCCGCAGAAGCACAAGGACCAGAGTGTGATCCCTGGTACCCCACCCCCCAAAAAGAATACTAATAGGAGCTTTTCTTTCCTAAACAAAAGATACGTCGATATTGATCACATTGCATTAACTATTTAAATTAATGGGCTAATATTTTATTTTCTTTCTAGTGCATGAGCATGCAGCTAGTATCATTCAAATACTCATACTGTGCTTTAGGTGTGTTTGGAAAAACACGGTTGTGCTTATTAAAAATATATATTTCTTTTTCCCGAACACTCTCTAAAGTTCTGCCCTTGAGAGAAGACTCTGAGTGTGGAATTACTTCACACAATGCACCTAGTAGTGAGAGCTGATTCTTAACATCATGCCTGATGTCTGATGCTCCTTTATGTGGATTTTGTAAGGAGGCTTAGAAATGTAACTTTATTTGCAATATGTGTATATGGACCAGGCAAAGGAATTAAAGTTAATGGGTTGCCTGATGTATGCGGCTCAGTGCATTCTGTGGAATGCTTTTGTAAAAGACATGGAGGTGTTTATTTCACGTGTATATGCTTAAATACCACAGAGTCTATAGAGTACATTTGCACAGGTAGAAAAGCAAACAAGAACCCTCTAGAGGTATATTTGGATTATAGATGCCAGTGCCTCATGGTTGGATTTCACTCTGACTTCGTTCAGGCATGTGATCTAGGAAGTGCTAAAAGGTAGGTGTTTAAAAAGTAAAATACAATAAATAAAAAAGTGCAAAAGAACAGCCAGATGGATGCATATTTTCTATTAATGGAGGCATATTGTGCTGAAAAGGAGCTAAACATTAGGGTATTTCATTAGGAGAGAAAATATACACATCTTTCTTATTTGACGTCATGCATGACACCATGGAGACTTCAGCCTGGAGATGGGCACTAGAGTGTTATTACCAAGAGTGATAGTTAAGAAGGTGATTTCATTTACCACATGAGTAGGTGTTGATTACAAACAAACAGGAAGCTAATTCAGGGATGAAAAAAGAAATATGCATGCAAGAAGTGTGATCAAAATATGATGATTAAATTTGTAAAAATGCCTTACAGTAAAAGTCACATTGCCATTAATAGTCCTTAAAATACTCCTCCTTACTTCAACTATAGTTATGCCATTGCTTTTGCCACTTTCTGAAGCAGTTCTGGAAGTCCTCTTTCCTCAGTGCTGTTATCAGATGTGACCAAATATTCAGTGAATTGTACTGCTGAGAGCCTTCCACCTGAAAAGCCGGCTTGTAGAAACATGAAAGTATGACCTTGTCTACCGCATTTACCAGATCGGCACCATTCCTTAGAGTTTTGGACCGTCCCTTGTCTTTATCTTTTAAGTTTTCCAGGTTTCTATGACAGATACCCTTAAAGTAAGAAAAACATGGGTTTATCTCTTATTTCTTCTTTTTTTAGGATGAGTGGAAATACTTCATTGGGACTAGGAATATGAGATGCTCCACACGCCATGGCAATGTTATATAATATTGACGTAACGATGGATTTAATATGGCGAGTCTCGCCAGTGAGCGAGACAGTGCCTCATATTTGTCTGTCTGCCTCTCTATCTATCGTTTATCATCTATCTACCCTTGCACAAGTGCTTGCACAGAAACACAGCCAATCATTCTTCTGAGTAACCGGGAAAAAGGAAGTCAAAATGATGGAATTGAATGCTGCTACTGTGCTTTACTGCGCAATGTGGGTGAGTCCAAAATGACTTATAACTGAACACACAAAAACAACAGTTAAGAAAATGCTTGTGACGAATGCAGATAGCAGCCTAATATATAGAAGGAACGTTGCAAATAAAAAGACACCATTTGTCAAGCACACATTAACAGTTACTGCAATCGCGTATCGTCAACACGTGTGAAAAATAGTAGATACAAATGTAATGACCAGGAGGACAAGTGCGTAGTTTGGAACTACTTCTCCACAAAATAGCACTTATTAATTATAGGAAATATAGTAACTACAGTGGAAGAAGCTAGTGGGTAACCTTCACCAAGTATGCAAGTTACCATTACAAGTAATTAGATGTGTAGACATCACCCACTTCCTTTCTTTTAATTATTCATTAAGTTTATTGGTACATTTAGGTAGACAGTATGATGACACTCAGCACTGGGAATGTGGACCTCTACATGGTGTATCTTGGCTCTTATTTTTTCCCCATTCCCCTGCCCTCCCTTCAACTCCACCCCTCCTATTTACAAAGACTTTGTTTCCATGTTTTCCTTTTCTCCTATTTATTATTCTCCCTTCCCCTTTCTCCACCCCCTCCCACTTCCTCTTCCCCTTTGGACCCTTTTCACATTATCTATTATGTCAAGAAATGATACGCTTCCTGATATGCCACAAAAAGGAAGATTCGACATCGAGTCCAAAATGCATAATTTCATTTTACTTATCAGAAAGTATTACACAAGTGCAAATGGCATCATTCTGCACAAAAGTAAACGAAAAAAATCAAAGAGGAACATTTTCCTGCTCTTTGAACGTGTCAAAGTTATGAAAGGCAGAAGAAAGACTGAGAATGCCTCCCAGATGGAGCAGACTGAAGAAACAGGATTAAATGCAATGAGTGGCCACGAATCCGATCCCGACTAGAAAAAGGACATTGCTGGGAAGATTGCAAATTTGTAAAAAGCCTGTGATTTGCTTTAGTATTATTGTATTTAATTTTCAGGTCTTGATCATTTTACTAAGGTCGTGTAAGATGATGCTAATGGAAGAAATTAGGTGAACAATAAATGAGAACTTTTTGAAAATAATGTTTGCAAATTTTGTGTTTAATTATTTCAGAAATGTAAAGAATTAAAATACAAGGACAGGGGGATTTAACTTTGTGGTGCCTCCACCTGCCTCACAAGCTCAAGGTCCTAAGTTTGATCCCTGCTACCAATAAATAAATAGTAAATAATTAAAATGGAAATATAAAAACACATAGATATTAATCTATGCAATAAAACCTAGAATAAAAATGTGCTAATATTTTAATAATTTAAATTGTTCTTTTGTTCTGTGGTGCTAGGTATCAAAAATCTAAAGCTTCTGTAATAATTGAATGAAAATTGAATCAATTTCATATGCTAAATTTAGTAATAGAGTTAAAAATTGATAGTCATAACTTATTAATTCAAAACTCAAGGATTATCAGTAATAATTCAGAAATTATCAGTAAATATAAATATAAACTGTAGATTTGCATCAGTCAAATTCATGCTATTCAGGAGTAAATCTAAGAGAATTGCAGAAATAACATGAATAAAACATTAAAGTACCAATGAAAGATTGACAAAACTGAATTAGGAGATAATTTTGTTTTTTAAATTTACAAAACACAATATAAAAGAACTGAAATACCCTCAAATTACTGTAAATTTAGTAAAATACCTATCCAAATAATTCTGAATTTTTTAAAATGCCAAAGTGAGTCTAAGTCTGTCTGAACCTTCAGAGGATTTGGAAAAGAAGCATAATATGTGAAAAATGTTAAAAATTTAATACGTATTATAAACAAACTTTCCTATATAACTATAATAAAGGTAAATATTTAAATAATAATATATCTTAAATGTAAAGTTTCAAATAGTGCCCTATTAGTACCAGAATTAATATGTGCAATCTATTAAAATAGGGAATGTATACATTGAATAAAATTGTTTAATATAGGGCCAGGGATTTAGGGTAGTGGCACCATGCCTGACTAATAAGCACAAGATCCTAAGTTTGATCCCCAGTACCAAAAAAATTGTTTAATATACACTAACCACGGCATGATATTCAATGGAAAATCACAATAATTCATTAAAAAATACAGTCATTTGGTAAAAGCATTTCTGGTTATAAGATTAGACATTCCTCATATTATACCAGAGAAGATATCAAAATTACAGTAAATAATTTACTTAAATCATGAAAGGAAATAAATCAAACAAATTAAAATTACACATAATTTTATTCTAAATACATATGCCTATTTTACATGGCTGAGATTCAAAGTTTTTTTACGTTCTTTGCTGTACATAGTACTGTGATAATTTGATATTTCTCTTTAGAATTTTCTTATTCAGGGTGACCTGCCTCGCAAGCGCAAGGACCCGAGTTCAATCCCCGGTACCAAAAAAAAAAGAATTTTCTTATTCACAATTTTAAGATTTTACCATACATCTATCATATTAGTACATTTATCCTATTGATCCAACATGATTTACTAAACATTTCTCTTCAAAGTGAATGCTGCCATGTTTTTTGCCTCTGCTCTTAGCGTTAACTTTGGTAGGAATAGCTTAATGTGTCATTCCATTTCCTCTATTAAATGAACTTCTAAGAATCACTGTAAAGCCATATTCGTTGGTAAAAATATCTTTGTAATTTTCTGTTATGAATTGTGGTAATAGATGATGCATTTCAAATTTTATGCATATGCAACATATATATAAAACACATATTGTACATGCATAAAACAAGTTACATGTATTTATAGATGTATACATGCATGTGCAAATTTTATGTTGATAAAACAATCATGCATATGTTATGCACCTATCAATGGGTGTGCTATATATACATACTTATATTTTGCTTTGTAACGTAATAGATGTCTCTTACTTCCAAGTTAGCTTTATTTAACATCTTTATATCATCCTTCTTCGTGCTTGGTGGTAAGTAACACGGGAAAACACTTCATTTTGGTGATGGGAAAGGAAAAGACCAACTGTGATCTATGTGAAAGTCAGGCTATATGATTACATTATTTTGCTCTTCAGACTTCTTTTTCTGGATTAAATCTGATCATTTCTTAATGAATTAGCCTCCTTCCATTTTGTTTTGATAACAAAGCATAGGAAAAAGAACAACACCCCACACCTCAGTCTTCCATCTGTTATGGAACGAAGGACACAGTCTCTCTCCAGTGTTTCATGGCCAGAAATATTTTTCCGTGTGCTCCCGTAGTCCTTCAGGCCTTCCTTTTGAGCCAACAATTATCTCACTGAGTTGGAGGCCCATGGGTTTCACACTAGGGAAGATATCAGCACAGAGAATCCACATGCTGATTTGGATATTCATTAATCATCTAGCTAATTTGTTTTAACACAGGAGTGTTGACAGCAAATGAATGTTATTCCAACGATGGTGACTGCATGATCCAGACTATTATGACATTAACATCCACAAGGCTGGCAAGTCCATGTTCAGATACGGTCAGTGGTGATTTCATTCCAGTTGCAAATATACCTGTATTTCGTCCACATCTACAATAATCATCGAGTAGGCTGGCTTTGCCAGGAGGATAAATGATTATATTTTTGCACATTTTGATTATTAGATGCATATATACATTGAAATCTTAGAGATAATGAATGTGCTTGATAAATGTGTGAATTTGATGCTAATATTCTTCAGTAAAAAATGAAGTTAAATTTGGCTTTACAATATATAATGCAGTTATTGTAGTGTGAATTTAGTCTTGCATGAGATAGCTGTGAAATTAACCCAAGTTGGGAAAAGCTTTCCTATACTTTATGAAGGTGGTGCACGTAAACACTTTTAATATTTTAAATTTGTAGATTCACAATTCACCAGGTAATAGATCCTTAGACATAGATACCTTAACTTTTCAAACTATCTTTCCCTTTGTTGTTTTCTGTCCCTCTCAGTTCATCTGTAAAAGAGATTTCTCTTCTTTATTAGGTCGTTAAGAACAAGAGTTTAACACATTAAATAATTTATCTAAAGCCTTTCAACCTGTTACAACCTGTTAGCGGTGGACTGCAACTCTAATGAATGTTTGCCCTACTTAAATGAATTAATTCCCAGATGCAAGTACCATCTATTAATGAACACAACACATGGCTGTACCAGGGCTTCTCAGTTTTAATGAAATTATAAGCTTACACAGGTAACCATCACCTGGAGACTTTTTAAAAAGATCCCTTCAAACTTATAAGATGCACATCGCCTTAGCATGATCATCTCAAAAAACACCCCAAGAAAGGAGGTATTCTATTTTTCTGACCCTGTAATTTTCTAAAGGACCCTCTCTGGAAGTTTTTAAATATTTATTTCTCGATTCAGTTTATTTACTGAAAGAAATTTAGTTCATGGCATTAATCGATGAAGAGATATGCAATTTAAGGAAAAAAATAAAGCTATTTGGAAAGACTCCTGATCACTATACAGAGCTATGCCTTTCACCCAGTAGGATAATAGAGGAAGTAAATGGCTCTTTCCCTGACATGTTTACATTGTTATCTACAGCCTTTTAAACAGTAGCAGAGCTGTGGTTCTCGATTTGCTCACTCATTCTGTTATTAGAGAAATTCTTAACTTCTTCCACAGGGAACTATTTTTCTGTCTTCACTCTTTCCTAGTGCCAGTTCTCAGTATATCTCAATACAGCCAGAATGTTGAAAGCACGTCTGTCCTTCTCATTGCCCCTATGGGTAGCAGCTCAGTTATCTTCCATACCAAGCATGCATTTTAAAAAAGGCAATAGATATTTATTGCCAATTTGCTCATGGAATACTGGTCATTAATCCAACCATGTATTGTGAATAAAGCATGTGTCTATAAAGCTGAGCAAAATGCAAGATGAATAGGAAGGGTGATTTTTTAGTAGTCCATAAACTGCATATTTTATTTATCCATTCAGTGAAATACATCAATAAAACAGTGAATTTTGTAAAAATAATTACCATTCCTCATGAACTCTAGATGGTAAGTCAATAGCTCATGGACTGATCTGTCTTATGAATTAACCAATTTTCAGGAAACCTTTCACTAAATTGAGCCACTTAATTGAGGAAATAGTACATTGGAGCTTCAGGCTTTGCCATTTAAGAGCAGCAGAAAGGGACACCATGAGAGGAATACTGGTGAGTTCAAGCCAATAGGGTGTTTCAAGATCTATTATTTCAGAGACTAATGTAAACAGTACCTTGTATTCAAATTTCATGCAAATACTTTCTCTTTTCTTTTTGCATGATTTTTTTTTTCTCATTGAGATTATTGGTCCTTTTTAGGTATACAGTACAGTTCATCATTCTCATACAAACACTTTCTTCAACATTTCTTTTTCAAAATTCAGTGCCTTATGGTTTACTTATTTTGTATTAATAGCATTCATTAAACTTGTAACGACTATAAATGTAAGACATTACTTAAACAGCTTTAAAAGGAGATAAGAATTTTCTTTTCTTTTCGTGCTGCTGGGAACTGATCCAGGCCCTCACATATGCTGGGCAATCATTCTGCTGCTAAGCTACACTTGCAACCCGAGAATTTCCTTATCGACGGTTAAAACACAAAACACAATTCATAGCATCACTTCAGTTTGTGTGTGTTTAAGGTACAACATCTTCTGAGGTAGTGCAAATGCTCCTGTGTCATGAATTTAGAAGGACTCGTTGGGTAGGGTACATGCTCTTTGTTTAGCTATACCTTGAGTTATACTTGTTCTGTTCTGTGAGAGAGACTATGTGCCATATGATTTGGTAATAATTATAAAAGAGATAAAATAATCATTTTTAAAGTATAGTTTAGAAGCTATAATTGGTACCTTATCTAGAAATTTGAGTATTATCATTATTTAATTTAGTAGGTAAACATGTAATTCAGTACATTTATATAATTTGTTTAAGCAAATTACTCTAAAGAAAATAAATAGAATATGTGCTTTTTGTCTGGAACCAGACATGAACATCCTCAGGGCAATATCCGGTGTACTTCCTCTCTTTCATCGGGGGCTCTAACACAGAGGCAAACCTAAGACTTAGAGCTCTCCTTCAAGCTAATCGCATGTCATGCACAAGCCCTCCATTTTAATATGTGCAGAAAAGCAGACCGGGAAATCCCTCTGTGCTGGCAATGTTTGATGTGAGGGAGAAGAATGAAAATAAGGTGTAGAGGAGTTTTTGTTTGTGTTTGTTCGTTTTTGTTCTCAGGCGCTGGGGATTGAATCCAGTCATTCTTCCTCTTAGCTAAGTGGCCTGCTGGGGCGCTACACTCCAAGTCTAGAGAAGAGGTTCCCAAATTGTGCGTTTTATCTTGTTTTGTGTTTTGGTTTGTGGTTTCAGAAAACTAAATTATTTCCTTACACTTAAAAGAGTGCTTTTTGATGAAATTTACTTTGTTAACATTGTGCGTCTATTTTATCAGAACCAATACTTTGGCATTATTATTAAAACGTACATTAGAATAACAAGTGCTCTTTAAAATTATTGTTACCTCAAACATAACTCTCAGTTTTCATTCCTGCTGAATTACAGTGAACTCCCTATTTAAGGGTCATTGATACAAAAAATTAAAAACTGCTTAGTTTATTTGAAAAAAACAATCAGCAGCCCACTTGCACTGTCAGTTAAGCTAGGAGGAAACTAAAGCAATTGCAGATACGTCAAATGACCTATCCCAGTTCCAAACAATAAGTCGTGTGGACTCTTACAGAAGATCTATGAGCTGAAAACCCTGTCCTCATTTGTCTACACAATAATCGTGCTTTAAATTCTCAGGAAAAGAGCCAGAGAAAAATACCCTATCCAGATCTTGAATGCCTTGCCTTAATCACCTGAATTTATTGTTTATATTTCAACAGTGGAAGCCAATACTTTACCATATTAGAAGCACTTTTAATTTTACTTACATAGACAAGATTTCAAGTTACATCTGATTTCTCAAATTATGCCAAATGTGAGGGTGTGTGAGAGCATTCTGTGACTTCCAGCACTTTTAAGTTAAATGTCTACTAATCACAAACCAAAAATGATACCTACAATTGAAAAAGAAAAGGAGAAGTAAAAGAAATGCCTTGTAATTTATTTCTAGCTGGGCTGGAGAGAAAGAGAGAGAGAGAGAGAGAGAGAGAGAGAGAGAGAGATTGATTTGGAGAAATGTCCCCAGAGAACATGGTCTCATGGCATTTCTAACCTGATTTCCAGGCCAGAGAAATTCTGATGGATACACAAACTTTGAATGGCTATGCGAATCAAACTTATGAACCTTTGGAGACCTATCCTTCATTAAGGCTGACTTCAATGGGGAATACACAGTCAGAACGGATGGGTTACTAAGGCCAGAGGTCTCCACGCTAATCGAATTGAGAAAGACTAAAACCAAGGGATAAATACCCATGGTAAATTGATGATTATTTCAGGTCCCTGAGTTAAAAGGCTTCTCGGTGGTTTATTGGATATCAGCTGATGTTCAAGAAGCAGCGAGGCATTTCTTTTCTTCATCTTTGCACACGGATACAATTCTTAGGTCAAGAATAAAACACAGTTTCCCACAGCAGTGACACAAGCTGAAAGGGATAATTTTAGAAAATCCTCATTAGCAGTGTGATTCATTGCACGGTACCAGGGTGGAGTTAAGGAAATTAAAGTTCAAACTCACTTAGGAGAAAGGTCAAAATGAAAACCAGAGGAGAAAGACCCGAGGAACATATGTGTAGGACTGGGTGATAAAAAGTTAAGGGCAGCGTACAAGCATATGCCACCAGGTCTGCTGCAAAGTTTAAGAGCCAGGAGGCAAGAGCAGCACACGGATCCACGAGTGCAAAGTTGACGGGGGGGTTCCAATGAGACCAGGCAAAATTGTTTTCATTTCCACCACGCACTGCTTGTCAGAAGCATTGGGAGACCTGCTGATTTGTCAGCAAAACTGCATCTTAAACTGGAAAATAAAAGGAAAGAAAAGAGTCGCAAAAGCATAATGCATATGTGTATGTATATGTATACATATAATACGACAGGGTAAAATATAATATATACATGATAATGGCAATAAACCAGTAAGTACTGCCATTATTATATATGAAAAACATATACTAATAGAAAAACTAAAAAAGGAAACAAAAACAATGAATCTATAAACAGTACTGGTGGTGTTTCCTTTTCCACATTCGTTCTTTTTCTAGTTTTCTCTCTCTCTCCCTTTCTCTGTATCCTTTTTACTCTGCCTTGCCCTCTTTCTTACTTTCTCCTCTTTTTTACCTCCTCCCACCAGCCTCTCTTTTCATATTTCTCTTTGTTCCTATTTCTTCTCTGTCTTCCTAGTAAAAGAAAACGTGTTTCTAAAATGGCCCTCAAACCAGATGTGGGGGCACAGGCCCTAGATCTCAGGATCTGGGAGGCTGAGGCAGGACAATTACTATGAGCTTGAGGACAGGTTAGGTTGTGTAGTGAGTTTAAGACCCACCTGGGCTACATAGCGCAATCCTACCTCAGAGAAACCAAATAAAGATAAATCAAAACATTTTAAAATGGCCCTCAAAGTCAACCTGCAGACTCGAACACTGGAATTTTGTATCTCTTCAAACTCTTTGCCACGGAATAAATGATGTATTGATGGCAAAAAAACAAAACTTGGGAAGCGCTCTTTCCCCAAACATTGTCAATATGAGTACAGGACCCTTGAGATAGGCCAAGGAGCAAAAAAGGAAGGATTCTTTCTAACCTCTACTCTCAAGCATTTTACACCAAGTGTAACTAATCGTCAGCGGCATTATGAAACGCTAAACTGATTCCGTGAAGCTTTAGTTAGAAGCAGATTTTGGCCAAAAATGACTCAAGCAAACTTTCCTCTCCCACTTTCCCCCCTTCCCTTTCCCTCTCCTTTTTTTTTTTTTTTTTTTTTTTTTTTTTTTTTTTTTTTTTTCTTTCTTTTGGTTGTTTTCTCTCCATCCATTGTATGGCATCCAAGATTTCACATGGAAACACCCCATGGCGTGTTTTTCATCACAGGTTAAAATCAACTTTAATTTTGTTATTTTTCCTCCCCTAACATGTTGCCGATCCCATTACAGTGATTAGGCTTTTCTTTTGAATGGTTACCCGAGGTAAAAATTGAATTGGCAAATGGGCCACTGAGTAGGGAGGTGAAAGACAGCAGCAGGGCCAGGAGAGCCCGGCATGGGCGGCTGTGAGAGCAGGACTCCAGTTTCACACCATGATTTAAGAGTTGTGTGTGTGTGTGTGTGTGTGTGTGTGTGTGTGTGTGTGTGTTCGGCTCTGATGCTGCAGAGCCTGTGGTTGTTACGCATTAGAAAACCGAACTGTGTTTCCTCACTTGAGAGCAGCTAACCAACATGAAACACCACAATTATGTGCATAGCAGACATACACTGGACAGCAAAACGTAGCAAAGGTCCCTGCTAGGGAGACTGTACATGCTGGGTTTAACTAACTTCAGAGTTTTGTGCTTTTGTTCATTACCAGAAGCTCCAGTACGGCCAGTGTGAGTTATAAAACCATTCTTTTAATGGTGTAAATGAAATTATGTTCTACAAACTGGGTTTTCAGTGTGGTGACACAATGCATACAATAGTGCTTAAGTAGAAGACAGAGGAAAAGATTTAAACAGCAGCGTCCCATGTTTCCTTAACCAAACAAAGTAGCACTTTACAATCAGTAGTGTGCTATGACTGAAATCAACCAGTGATAGAAAGATTATTTTTTAACCAGGCTGGAGTAAATTCGTGTACTATAAAAAAATAATTTGTGAAACAAAAGCTTCATGCAACAATGGTGAAGTTTAAGAGGTAGGAGGGACCAAATCACATAGAAGGTATTTCTTTCAACTTTTTCATTCTTTTCAAAAATTCTGTGTCAGACAGTGACAGAGAGAACTTTGGCAAATCTACCTCTGCAGTCTGAAATTCTATCTATTACACCCGGAGCTCTGAAGATTTCTACAAGAAGAAATCATTGTATTGTGACACTAGAAAGATCAGGGACTTCTCAATCAGAACTCTGTGCAAGGCCCACCATTTCAGGGTTACTCTCACTCTGCTTTCCCAGAATGAAATCCAACCAGGTTTGACCTTTTTTTTCCCCCTTTGGACTCCGTCATGTACTCTCAATTTGATATTAAAAGACTTACTCTTGGGGATAAGAATAAAAAATGATCTCATCGCTAACCCCATACTCCAAGGAATACAAGCACAGAAATAGACTCATTATTCTACAAGTTTCCTGTGCTCACAAAACAATATCACCAGCTCGAGGAAAGGATATTCTCGAACTAGTACAAGTCACTAAATTAATTCTTCTGTTTCTAGTGTTTAGAAGGCATACTGATTTTCAGTGAAGCATTCTTTGAAACCATAAAAGTGTTTCCTTTAGTCAATTTTTTTTCCTTTTTCCAAATTAATTGTGTGTGTGTGTGTGTGTGTGTGTTTTGTGTTGTGTTTGTGTTTGCATGTGTGGAATGCTCTGAGGAGATCAGTTTTTTCTTTATTAGCACAAATTAAAGAACATGTCTTCAGAATATATGTGTGTGTGTGTGTGTGTGTGTGTGTGTGTGTGTATATATATATA